AGCTACTTCGAAATGGTTCTTATCTCAAGCAAGATGAACCCAACCGGCTAGGACGCATCAAATTGCATTCTTTTGCCTTGATAGTTGACAATTGTTCTATCTACTCTATGGGCGGAGTGCTTGTAAACATGGCGGCTCGGCCTAGTAACCACCGGGGAGTCGAGAGCACCCGATCGCGGCCAGATGTGAGGTCAACGCCTTCGTACGTCTGGTCCAAGTCATTCGCTGGCCACCTTGTCTTCGCTTTCAGCCGACTTCTTTACGCGAAAATAGTGAACGCTGAGGCTAATGCTCAGTATATATATATATATATATATATATATATATATATATATATATATATTGCATAAGTCTGTTAACAGACATAATGCCATCAAAAACCATGGGATTCAAACGAAGGTACAGAAACAGTAAAATAAAACACAACACAACAATGTCCATGGTTTCCTCAGTAGGTATGCGAAATACGTGCCGAAGCCTATGCACTGGAATTATGCGGCTCAGCAGCCGGCAAAGTCTGTCCGATTTGAAAATCCTTCGGCGAATATACTCATTACTAATGTGATGCTGCCACCGTACACAAGCCTTGCTCTGAAGGCAGCGGTGGTCAAAGACAGACAGTGTCTGAACGTCCTTTGCGCGAACAAGCCAAGTCTCGCAACCGTAGAGCAGGATCGCTCTCACTGTGACATTGTATACTCGGTCCTTCAAGGAGAGACTCAGATTTCGTCGATGTCAGAGATGGCGGAGATTAGCAAACGCAACCCGGACCCTAGAGACGCGCAATGAGATTTCATCCGTTAAACCATAAGCGCGGATGCAGCTTCTGAGGTAAGCGAACTTGTGTGCCACTTCCAGGGAGTGACCTGAAAGGGCAAGGATCGGAACAGATCCTAGCCAGTCTTGTACGAAGACCTTACACTTCGAAGGGACGAAGCTCATTCCAAACTGGGAAGCAGACACCGCCAAACTGCATAGGACCTTTTGTGCGGCCTGTGAGGTATCGCAAATTACGACGATGTCGTCTACATACTGCAACTCCCGAAGTCGGTCCCCCAGAAACAGTTCAAGGCCGCTGGGTCCGCAGTGCTCCAGAACGCTCTCCAGGATGTCATCAGTAGCGAAATTGACCAGGAAGGGTGATGCAGGGCAGCCCTGTCTCACGCCACTGATGGTACTAAAGGGCGGCGAAAGCCTGCCTTACACACGCACTCGGTCCGAGGTTCGAAAGCAGATGGCTCGCAGAATGTTGGCATGCTTCTCAAGCACTTCCCTTCTCAAGAGACGGCTCCAGAGAAAAGCTCTGTCAACTGAGTCAAAGGCGGCTCTTATGTCTAAGGAGACAACGATCGTTGGCCTGCCAAACGTTTGATGACGTTCGAGTATTTGGCACTAAGATATGCTCGATACATCTCCGGCCGGAACAGAATCCAGCTTGCTCTTTACGTATGTTTTGTTCGCGTACCATGCTGAGCCTCCTTAAAAGCGGGTTGGCGAGCACTTTAGAAGTAACCTAGATTAGCGCAGTCTGTCCGGGTACTGTTTTCGAAGACGGGCACGATATCCGCTAGAGAGGATTGCTTCGACTATCCAAACCTTTTGGAGGAGGGAAGTTAGCTTCAAACGCGTGATAGGCCTCCATCTTTTAAAAGAGCCTGAAGGTGTTCGTCCGGATCAGGGGCTCTGTAGCGCTTTAGGAGACGAAGCTCATGAGTAACCTCAGCTTCAGAAGGTGGTGTGGTATCTATACGGCAGGGAGCAATACAGTTTCCCGAATGAGGGATCACTGGTGCTGCAGATCAGTTGTACTGCTGCTCAAAGTGCTCAACCCAACGCACAAGTCGACGTTGTTGGCAGTGGATTCGCTCGCCATTGGTTTCTCGCAATACTTTACTTACAGTCGTCCTTTTTCCGCCTGTGGATCGGATCAGGTGGAAAAGCTTTCGGAAATCCCCCGAGCTAGCCGCCTGCTCTATATCAATGACGCGTTGCGTTCACCAGGCCTCGTGATTTTCCCTGATGAGCTGTTTGAGTTCAACGTTAGTAGTCCTGCGTAATGAATGATATTCAACGGTAGTTGGAATTGCCCGACGAGTTTCGAGAAGTTGGAGAGCTCGTGCAGAGATCCAGTGGTTGACGGGACTACTGGTGAAACCTCAGGCCAGGGTCGCAGAGTTGTGCATGGCACTGCGGATGTGTGCCCGGTGCGTTTCAATGTCAGAGCATGAGGCGCTCTTGAGATTTGAGACCAACACATCCTGAAACGTGCTGAGAACGCTTAGGACAGAAGGTCTGGCCACGTCAACCCGTATCCGGCGACGCCGTTGGGAGCGACCGAAACGTAAAGCTATCTTTGCACACATGAGCGCATGTTCCGAAGTAAGGTAAGTACTCCACATTGATTTACGATCATGTATGCAGCCCTGACATCGTTAACTGATGGCGATGTGGTCCATTTGCGTCCATTGCTGGCCAGGTGACGGAGGCCTTCAGGTCGCGTGTTGGCGCCAGGATCGCCGAAAGCTAGTACTCGACAGCCACTTACTGACCCCTTGAGCCTTGATAGCAAGGAACTCGATGTAGCTGATCAATTCACTCACCTTGGCAGTTGCATCAGCAAATGTGAGCGCTTAACGGCTGAAGTCAATTCATGGATTGCAAACGCTAGAACTCCCTTGTTGCATATGCGACATCTTTGGTATTAGAGTGGTGTTTCCCTCTGTCTGAATGCGTGTTCACAAGGCCACAGCGAGGGCCGTCCTACTCTATGGGAGTGTGACAGCCCCTTCGTTCTGAGAATCTGACGCACCTTTAAGTCTTTGATCATCGCTATTTGTGAAGCATTGTTGGTGTCGGATAGTACTAGCATGTCCGCAACGATGATGTGAGTAAACGAGTGCTATGTAGTGATAATAAGACTAGTTCCTTACAACGACAGATAGCACTGAATAAGTTACCTTGGTTTGGGCAAGTGCTACGTTATGCCCGGTCACCGCTTACCTTGTTTCCGACCAGCTCCAATTCGGATACGGTCCTTGTGATCGTAATGACTGATGTCCACTTCAAAGTGAACCGAGTTCTGCACAGAGCTTGCGTGTCGCAATCCAACCACACAGCGGGTACTCCAAATCCAACTTTGAGGACCTTGTTTCTCTTACCAGATGTAGGGTAGCGCAAGGCCCGAGGTGGGCAAAGTTAAGTTAGCAGTGGGAAATGAAGTCACTGACGACCAAACTCAGTACCGTCGGTCCGTCTCGGCTTCCATGCTGGAGTCCACGTGACCCGCCTTGTGCTTGACTCAAGACGTTACAGGACATGGCTCGCAGTCGACACTAGTGGTCTGTCTGCTTTCGTCTCCTATTCTGACGGAATGTTTAATGTGTGTTTGGTGCTGAGTTCTCTGCGGGGTAATGAATGATAATGACGCGTGGCAGTGAAAGCTGCAATGCAGTTGTTTCGCCGATGCCACTTTATCTTTGCACGATAGCCAGCTGTTTGTGACGGCATGTTGTTGACACCAGATGGAGGTGCTTTTACACTGAATGTTTTTTAGGTGACCGCGGTTCTATGGCAACGAAGCATTAGTCCAAATGGCTGATGCACTGATGTTGATGATGGTGATGACGCATCGCCTTTCTGCGTGGGAGTTCCGGGATTAATCGTATCAGTGGCTTGATGCATCGAAGATGATAATCACGAAGGGTGCAGCGCTCTTTCACTCCTTTCCCTATTGCAGACTTTTGATTGCTCTATCTGACGAACGTACTCCCTGTCCATTCCCCTCCGGAATCATTCTTGTTGTTCGTGGTAGTGCCGTTTTTAGTATTTTGGTGGAGCCAAGGTAGCCCCTTCCGCCGACTAAAGTGAGCAGACTGATGCAACAAGTAGATTTCAGTTACTTTTTTTCTGTTGGTTCACCTGGTCACATTTGTCAGTGCCATCACTTTCTGACTTCGGCTAGATGCAGTTTCTTCAGAAATAAGTTCGTAGTAATCCGATTTTATGTTATACTCAGATGTTACAATAATTTGAAAACTAATCAGACCTATCCCACAGTGTAACAATTTGCCATCGAAATGTACCACTTGCAGACGAAATCGATGCTCTGGCTGTGTTTGACTTTAGCTGTTCTTGCTCCAACTCTTTTCCTCTCACCAAAGGTGCATCAGCATTTGACACACGAAGCTCTCTAGTGTGGCGTCATTTTTGCAATACTTCTGCTAATCCCTACGTGTACCCTCACTTCTTACATTTTCTCTCTCTAATAAATCCGGTCAGTGTTAATCATGCAAATCGCGATCGTCCCTCTGCTTAGCTGTAACAAAGGATCCATTTGGCTTGCTAAGCCACTGGTGTTAAAAACAAAACGGTATCCAACAGATTGTTTTCAGACATCAGTGAACCCTTAACTTTTCAGTGGGTTACGGCTATGTTCCCAGTGTCCTGGTAGTCCGAACCGTGTCGAAGTTGTTTATCCGCAATCATCGCAATTAACAGTCACTTTCATCTTCCACTAGAATCTTCACATGGATGTATTCGAGTTGATACCGGAGCCTCCGATCTAGCGCTGGCCCGTAGCCTAAAGGTAACAAGCATGTCTTTTAATTCGTCGACGCAGGTTACAGTTTGTTTTGGGACAGGACGACCCTAGCAGTATCCTTAGCCGATGTGCGACTGGTGGTGATTGCGCTGCAGCAAAGCGTCGGTACTGCGTATCGGCCTACTGATAATGCCTGCGACCTAGTAAGCGATAACAAGCCATCCCACCACTGATCGCATCTTGCGTTGAGACGTATTATATATAACATGAAAGCAGCTTGAGATCTGGGCCTTACGTCATATTCCAGACATGTTGGTAAGAAAGCAGTCCATCACATGTGAAAGTGCTTGGGCATGTCACTCGGACCTAGTTTTCCTGGACATCAACACGGCTGAACAATTCGAATCAACCGAAATTTCCAAATCAACTGCAATCCATGACAGCCAGTAACTGAACCTACCTTGAAAAATCAAATCTCCTTTTTTATCTCCAGTTGGGTAGTACACGTGATGTGTAAACGGTTCGAATCCCGTCTGACAGTTGATATTGTCCGCCGCTTTGCACGCCTGGTTGAGAACACTCGCCGACTTGATGCGCACAAAGTGTACGCTTACCAGATCAGCTTCTGAGAGAATGACAGGAGAAAGCCCCTTCTCCGGTGGGTACATGGCGACTACACAGGCGTAGACCCCATTATCTGTTGGATTGGCGTCCAGAATGGTCAGTCGTGCTTGGTCCAGTACTGCATTTTTGTCTGGGTCCCAATAAGGAACCACTTGCAAGTTATCATAGCTTCTCCGCCCGTCTCCCAACCAAGGATCGATAACGTTATTCCAGTTTTGATGGACCCACAACAACGCCCAAAAGTATTTCTCTGTCATTGCCAACTTTCGCTGATTAAACAATCGCGTCATCATTTCCGGCTTCAGTGCGCATGGCACGTAAATAACGCTGCCCAGTAGCGCTTCCTGAAAGTATGGTCCTTCCCATTTCTTCGCTGTCAGACCTGCTAGTGTGAAATTGTGACGAATTGGGTCAAATGGCTCCTCCGTTGGCTCCGGATCTTCAAACTCTTCACCATATGACCTCCGGTAACTCAAAACCAGTTTGATACTGAGCACAATAGGTATGAAGATATGAAGTAGTACAATTCTCATTTAGGGTTTCTCCAGTTAACGGTTTGCCACAGGTTGATTACGATGGAGTGACCAGTTAATGTGCCAATCGATTGGGTAGTTGTATCGATCTAACCACGTGAACCCTACTAGGACCCATCCGTTATGCCTACGGAACATTCAGATGGCCCGATTACTAGGCAATCCATTCTGGGCCCATTACGCAAAGATAATCAGCTTAAATGTGGACCGCGATTCGCACTGAAGTGAACCTTGGTCAAATCGATCACTGGGACCTTAATTGATAAGGCAGATAGATTATGTGTGTTGGCAACTTTAAAACACTGCACTCCGCGACGCGTTTTAACTTCATTTGATATCATAAGGTGGACCTAGCAGTTTTTGAGCCCGGGACCGCTTGGATGTTAGTTGTGGCCCACACCCTTTAGCTACCGGGTCATGACGGGCAACGGTTGGCACAACAGTTACTGACCGATTGGATAGTCATTTTGTGGTATTCCTTGTGTGAATGGATTGCGACGCGCAATCTCAATGTTGACCGGGATTCCCATTGAAGTGAATCTTGGTCCAATCAATGAACAATGATTTTATACGGATTAAAGAGCATTACTTTACAAGCACCGTTGGGTAGTCTGGTGGGCTATTGAAAAACGTTAATGAACAGAATGCAGTTAGTAGTTCGACTCTCAAAAGAATGGACTTATCGTATGTAATGTAGTAGCCTACACTCCGAGTGTTTCCGTAGCTTCAATAGGCGGGGGAAAAATCCAAGGGACTAGGTTGGTAATAAAGTTATTGTGGTTTTTTAATATCTTTATCTTAACAGCTGCTTTTGAATAATTTTTAATAAGTTGGTTTTATCTTGTATATCATTTTAAAGCCTGTTTTGTGCTCTAGCTAGCAATAGTGATGGTTTAGCTGAGAAACACGTTTTTGTATATTTACAGAACATTTAATGTAACGTGGACAAAAGACGAATTCGCGCAATTTTCTTGTACCAAGTTAAACGTGGATGAAATTGAACGGAAACAGTCCATGACATCAACAGTGCATTTGATGCTGGAACCATTAATAACCGTACTATATACTTGTGGTTTCGAAAATTTCAAAAAAGGTTACGAGAGGCTTAAGGATGAAGAGCGTTATGGACGGTCATTAAGAGTGAAGAACGTTCAGTTAAGTGACTCAGTTCAGGCGGATCCGCGGTAAACTATTCGAGATATTGCTGCTGACTTAGCAGTATCGCATGTGACAGTTTTAATATATTTTCGGGAGATTGGAATGTCACAAAGCATGGTAAATGATTGCCGCACGAATTGAATGAAAATCAAAGAAATCGTCGTTTTGAGATGTCGTCTGCCCTCCTGTGCAATACAAACGACCCGTTCCTCGACCGGATTTGGACTTGCGATGAAAAGTGGATCCTTTACAACAATCCACGATGAACCTCTCAATGGTTGGACCACCATCAATCTCCACAACACTTCCCAAAGCTGAAATTGCACCAATTAAGGTTATGGTGACTGTTTGCTGGTCAGCGACTGGTCTGATCCATCACAGCTTTCTGAATCAAAAGGAGACCATTACATCAGAGTAGTATTGTCAATAAATTGTCGAAGTGCACTTAAAACCAACACAGGTGCCTGGCACTGGTCAACAGAAAGGGACCAATTCTTCTCCATAATAACGCTCGACTGTATGTCGCACAAACGCTGCGGAAGCTACACGAGCTGGGCTACGAAACTTTGCCTCACCCACCATATTCTCCTAACCTCTCACCTACCGAGTACCAATTTTTCAGCCCCCGGATAACTTCATCTGACAGAAAAGTTGTAAAACTCAAGGAGATGCTACAACCGCCTTCGACGATTTTATCGCCACTAGAATTCCGGAATTTTAATCATTCGGGATAAATAAACTTGGTTACCGTTGACAAAAGTGTCAATTCAAGTGGATTTTATTTCGAATAAAAAGGTTACGTTTGAGCCAAGATAAGTCTAAGATTAAAAACCGCAGTAACTTTGTTACCAGCCTAATATTTCCCAGGAGATGGGTGGAGAGTAGCCTCAAGTAACGATATGTAAGTGGCAGAGTGCGTCATCCAAGCGACTTTTAAGCATGTCTAGCGTGGGTGCACAAACAACCGATTCGGGGAAAGCGTTCCATGGCTGACCCTCACGAATGGAAAAGAAATTTCTACGGCTGTACTGTTCAGTTAATTTCATGGAGTGACCTCTCAGGTTGGTATTACTGTTGAGTTGCAGTAAGGAGCGGCACACATGATTTTGGATTGTGTAAAATCAAAAACGCCATAATAAAGTCGCCCCGTAGTCGGCGATACCGCCCGTTGAATATAACCCAAACGTTTCGGCCTCTGCTCGTGCGGAAAGTGACGCAGTCCAATGACGTATTTAGAAGCCCGACGTGGAGATTGGTTCAGTGCAATGTGGTCGTGCTTCAGCCATGGCTACCAGGCTTGAATTGCGTATTCCACATGGTGACGAACATACACACTCAACATCTGTCTGAAAATAGTGGTATCTAGTTGTCCGGACGCCCGTCTTAGCAAACCGACGTGCTGGTTACCAGTTTCCGATGTCTTTGCGGATTGCTCGGAACAATCTAACTTATCTTGAACAAGCACGCCAAGGTCGCGTTCGACGGGTGATCACTGTGGTACTTGTGCTCCTAACCTGTAAGATAGGTACTGTGATGTATGGAGAGGACGTTGCATTTGTCCATGTTGAACTGTAACAGATTTCGAGTTGGCCAATCATGTACCGTATCTAGATCACACTGAAGTAACATCTGCTCACCATCCGCCCGAGTCCGGGGCCATATCTTGATATCGTCAGCAAACAGCAGGGAACTTAAAGCGATATTCCGTGCAAGATCATTGCTGAACGACAAAAGCAACTGTGGACTTAGTGCTGAGCGCTGGGATACACCAGACTCGACTGGTATGGGTTCAGATAAGGAGCTCCGGACTCTCACCAAGAATTGTCGTTGCAGGAGAAAGTTGGCGATCCAGCTCAAGAGAGGGTCATCGATCCCGCAATATTGGAGCTTGTAAAGGAGAATCTGATGATCTTAACGGTCGACAAATCCAAGTAGATCACATCAAAGACCTCCCTAGCGTCAGCTGACTCTGTTCAACTACTTCTTGCGATTAATAAATTCGTTTTGCATAATCGCTGTCGACGAAAGCCGTGTTGTTCGGGAGAAACCTTGTTACAAGTTTCTGAATAACACACCAGTCTATCGGAAATGGTGAACTCCGTGACCTTGGATAATACATAGAGATGAGACACTGGGCGGTAGTTTGATAGCTCAATTCTGCTCCCGCCTTTGTGAATCGGTGTTATTATTCCAAGCATCCACATCGCGGGAATCTGGTTCTGGTCTAAGCAGCCTTGAAAGAACTGGGCCAATGATATTGCCAGTTGTCTTACCTCTGTTCCTAGTGCCTCTAGGCGAATGTTATCGATACCCGGGGAGCTGTGGTTGCGCAGCGACGTCAGCTTCGGCAGTAAAAGATACGTGTATGAGTAGTCCTGGAAGCAAGAAAACAAACTTGGAAGATGGCCTATTGTTAAGACCCTCTGAAATGTGGGAGCCTATTGCGTCTACAACGCGTTTTCTGCTTCTATAACTGTTGTAGTTGGACCATCAGTCGTCCGGAGCGGAGGAATTCCCTGCCTCACCTTACGACGGCCATTGTATGGACAACGGGCTCGATTCAGCACCAAATAGGAAGAGTGATCAACAAAGTCAACGTAGGTGATTTAATTCGGACTAGACGCGTAAATCAGTTGAGACCTACTAGTATTTGAGAGAGCACAGATAACCGATCACTACCATTTGATCTTCTCATAGACAGTTTCGATATGCACCCTAGAGCCCCACGCTTGCCTAACGATGTGTGCGCAACAGCTCCGAATCTACAGCCAAGGCGTTGTACTGATTAGATCCGGAGGCCAACTATGCATCTACAGGTAAACCCACACAAACGTTCGTACGATTAACACTTCTTTTTGTGGGAGGAAGGTGTAGTGTCATAAGGGAACCCGGAGTGGCAAAATGTCCAGGAAGTGTAACTTGGTTGGTGCCAAGAGAATTGCTTGGATTTTTTATAACTGTGCACAGAAACGGAACATGGAGTTGTGCAGAAAGCAAGTATGTTATTTTCCAAGACAAAATCATGTTTTGTGTCGAAACAATTCTTGCCCACAATCCGAATACTGTGTTTTTCTGCTGTGGTGCTTGTTTCTGTCGCCTGTTTCACACAAACCCCACACCACTTGTGTCTCCGGGATCCTATTTAACCACATGTGTATTCGATTGTAAAACAACTGGTTCTATTGTATTCCCTTCTGCTTTTCGCCTGGTCTTGTGTCCGTTGTATCAATACACCTTGCGCTGTAGCCTTCACTTTCTGTATTCGCAAGGCGGAATCAAGCAGGTGTTCCGTCTTGCTCTGTGGGTCGTAACAAGTGACATACTTGCACAGCACTTTGTGATCAGCGCTGAAAGTTTTCACCATATTCTGCCGATATGCATATTTGTCATCTCTGAGCAGTTGAGTGCAGTGATTAGGGTGGGCTACGTATTTGTCCCGATTATCTGGTGTTGGCGATGATCTGTACTGTCGCCAGGCTACGTTGTGTACAGTCGTCCATTGTTTAGTTCTGCTCCTCACGAAAAAAACGGTTTTGAGCCCACTGAAAACCCTTGTCTCTGAGGCATCCGTAATCAGTTGATTGAATTTCTTGACGAATTCAAGCCAAACGACTTGATTGTAAACTTGAGCGAACGTGCGTGCAAATCGCTCACTTGCGCACTAGTGGTTTTTTCACTGTGGCTCAGCGGCATTTTGTCGCACAGCTTTGGATCTATACTCATTCGTCATGCTTTTGAAAGCTCCACCTTGTGATACTCTTTTCTCAAGTACACTCCAGTACATCCTACATTTACCCTGAATTCTAAATTCTGGGCCGTGCTTCGCCGATATCCAAGCGCCAAAAGTTGCCTAACCAACCATCGGAGACATAGTTTGGTCTCACTCGATAGACCATTTCAACGGTTTTCGAACGAACTGTCACTCGCTCAAATCCAACATTGCTTGGTGCAGCTACAGGTCTCAAGGCAAATTCACCCGGGGCGATCCATAGGCTTAACCACGAAAATTCTCAATCACACCTTTGT